TCCTCCCCTCCAGATGATGTCAGTGTTGTGGACTATGTCGCTGGGTTACTCATATTAACAATACTCTCTGAACTTCTGCCTCTCAGATATAGTATGCCCTAGCCACTGCCATCTTGGTAATCGCCCATTTAGTTACTTCTAAACATAGTAACTTCATAGCTCGCAGAGTTTATGGTTATACAAAAGTATTTTCTAAAAAAGATACTTTTTGTAGGTGAAGAAATAAATATGTAAATATACATATTCACAATGTCAATATGACTTTCATAACAAGTTTTGAACAACAGAAAAGATAAAATGATGATGTTTCTCAGGGTTACAGTAGAGTTTGTCTACTTCTAAGATAAATCTAGTTCTCAAAAGTGTATGTAAATTACCTGAGGGTCATATTCTCAAGCATATTTTGGACATAAACCTAGGAGTGGTATAACTGGATATTGACATTTGCTCAACCATGTTTGTTGCAGCTTTATTCATAATAACCAGAATCTGGAACAGCCCAGATGTTCCTCAATTGAGGTATGGATACAGAAATTGGGTACATTTACATAATGGAATACTACTCACCTATTAAAAACAAGGAAATCATAAAATTTGCAGGCAAATGTTGGGAACTAGAAAAAGAGCATCCTGATTGAGGTATCCCAGAAGCAGACACACATGGTATATATTCACTTGGATATTGGACATATAATATAGGACAAACATACTAAAATCTGTACATCTGTACACCTATAGAAGCTAAGCAAGAAGGAAGACCCTGGGTAAGATGTTCAATCTTCATTCAGAAAGGCAAATGGATAGACCTGGGAAGATCGAGAAAACAGGGAACAAGACAGGAGCATACCACAGAGGCACTCTGAAAGATTCTACCTAACATGGTATATTAACACAGATGCTGATACTCATAGCCAAACTGTGGGCAGAGTGCAGGGAATCTTAACAGAGAAGGGGGAGATAGAGAGACCTGGAAGGGACAAGGAGAGCAAGAGAACCAAAAATTTCTGGGCACAGGGGTCTTTTCTGAGACTGATTCTCCAATCAAGGACCATGCATGGAGATAACCTAGAACCCCTGCACAGATGTAGCCCATGGCATCTCAGTCTCCAAGTGGGTTCCCTAGTAAGGGGAAGAGGGACTGTCTCTAACATGAACTCAGTGGCTGGCTCTTTGATCACTCTCCTTGAGGAGGGAGCAGCCTTACTAGGCCACAGAGGAAGACAATGCAGCCAGTCCTGAATGAGACCTAATAGGCTGGGGTCAGATGGAAGGGGAAGAGGACCTCCTCTATCAGTGGACTGGGGAAGGGACATGGGAGAAGAAGGAGGGAGGGCGGGATTAGGAGGGGAGTAGGGAGGGGGCTACAGCTGGGATACAAAGTGAATATATTGTAATAAATAAAAAAATAAAAAACAAACCAAAAAAATTACCTGAGGGTCTATTGTACATGCATTCTGGTTAAAAAAAAAAAAAGAGAGAGAGGCTATATTATATAGTACTTAGTTCTTATCTGAAAGGCTTATTTCCCTATACTACAGCCTAAGATTTATTCATTCATTTATTCATTTTATGCACAAAATATTAACTTTCTGTTATGTGTCAACTATAGGTTCTAAGTATAAGAAAGTAAACAAGAAAGATGTTGGGTCCTTAGGTTGGCTTAGTGAGTAAATGTACTCTTTCTCAAGCTTGACTACTTGAATTTAGTTCCCCAGGAACTGCATACTAGAGGGAAAGCCAGCTCCAATAAGTTCTTTTTTTCCCTTCACACTCACATCATATTATTTTTACACTCACTCAACCATACACATACACACAAGATAAATGTTAAAAAGTGATAAACATTATGGCATTGTTTAATCTTAGTGAAAGGGCTATGTTGCAATAGGTTCCTCCAATGATTAAAATCAAGGTAATAACACGCCAGTTACCTGTGATGACAGAGAAAGGCGTAATGGCAGGAGCAGCTATCTGAGGGCTCACTTTTGAACCATAAACTCTCAGCAGGGAGAGTGAAACATGAATGGCATAAGTCCTTAAAATCTCAAAGCCTGTCCAAAGTGACCAACTTCCACTAGCAAGGCCACACTTTCCAAACTCCCAAACTGCACCATCAATTGGGGTACATTATTCTAACGCCTGAGACAATGGGTGATATTTCTCATTAAAACCATGACACAAGTAAAAAGACACTGCAAAGTCCCTGTCTCAACAGTGAGCTCTGTCTATAAAGAGAACGAGAAAAGTAGCGACTGTGACTAGAGCATAAAGCTTCTCTGTGCCCCAGAGGCTGTGACTGCATGCATACGAACAGCATGGGGTCAAAGTCTCACAAATCTTCACACAGATGGAGGCAGAAGTGGATGGGCACAGAGTCTTACCTCTCACTGAGGAACTCTTTGCAATGGGCAATTGCCAGGGGAGAAGGAGTCAGTTTTCCTCAGTACTGTGATTCCTGGAAGGCTACTCATGCTTCAATAGTTGGCCCAGCGTTCTGATATCACTAGACTCACTCAGTGTGAACAACACAGCACATGAAGTTGGGAGGAGAAGGTGATGGGTGACATGGTGGAGCAACTGTGGAAGAGGGAGTAGATGACAGATTCTATGCCAACACATTAAACGCACGTGTGAGGATTTCAGACAATTTGGGCCAAGAGATAAGAGGGCTGAGAGAGAAAAATCACATCTGTCAAGGTAGAGAAGAGTGCAATATATCCTCCTGAATCATCTGGGGATTCTCAGAGTTTGCACCTGAGTTAGTTTGCATGGTGCCTCCAAAGACAAAGATATGCTGTTTGGGTTGAGTAGTATGCCTGAAGGAAAAGAAAACGAAAGAAAGAAAGAAAGAAAGAAAGAAAGAAAGAAAGAAAGAAAGAAAGAAAGAAAGAAAGAAAGAAAGAAAGAAAGGGAGGGAGGGAGGGAGGAAGGAAGGAAGGAAGAGAGAGAGCAAGAAAGAAGGAAGGAAGGAAAGAGAGAGAAAGAAAGAAAGAAAGAAAGAGAGAGAAAGAGAGAGAGAAAGAGAGAGAGAGAAAGAAAAAAAGAAAGAAAGAAAGAAAGAAAGAAAGAAAGAAAGAAAGAAAGAAAGAAAGAAAGAAAGAAAGAAAGAAAAAGAAAAGAAAGAGAGAGCATTCTCCCTAAGCAAAACATAAGTAAACTGGCTGATACTTGCAACATGAAGAAGTTCATTTTGTATAGCTTTTTGATTTATACTCTAGCAAACAGAAACCCATCCCTCAAGTCAGGAAGTCCACTGTAATTGTATTGTTGGCACAAACTCAATTGCTTCAGAATTAAATTTTTCTGAGTGAAAATGATTGGAAACTATTGGAAAAGATATGGAATTGTCACACTTGTTAACTGTAAGCTGCAGTTTCAAAGTTTCCTGTCATTTCACAGGATATTGAAAAGAAAATAAGAGAGGAAAGATGGCAGAGAGCTGTTACAATGAAAGATACCTCTCAACCTAAAAAAAAAGCCCCATTTAATAGAAAAAAGTAGTCATTATTATTATGTAAATATACAATAAAATAGTAACTGCCTCATAGCACAATGCTTTTCTAACCTACTTACCACCTATCTATGTACCTAATAATTTCTCATATTGTCTTAGTGGGATATATGCCAAACCCCAGAGTTATAAAGATAGAATGAACCCTGTTACCTCAGTAATAGTTCTAGTAAAACTCTCTGACTGGGGAGGAAGTCTAATAATTTAAGACCTTACAAATGCACTTCAAAGTAGTAGCTCTTAACATGTTAGCACACTACCAATTTACTTCTGATTTTCTGTCTCAGTTTTCATATATGTGACTAAGGGAGTTTACAGTACATTGTGTGTGTAATGATTGTCAAGAATGGCACAATCGGTAACCTTCCTTCCTCAATGTCTAACGCAACACTCAGGATTTTCATAAAGTTATCCAGGATTGTCGACATATTATTGGCTAATAGAGGAAGGATTTATAACTTGGGAGCACAGTTTTTAATCAAGTCTCAGTGCCCAAACTTGTATCACACTTTTTCTTTTACCCTATTTTCTCAGCACCTTGTTCTTTATTAACAGAAGTATTTTCCTTTTCTCTGGCCTTTTGCTTATCTCAGTTCATTCATTCATCAAATATTAATTTTAAGTGTTGTCTTAGTTAATTTTTCTCATCACTGTGACAAAATGCCTGACAGAACAAATTGAAGGGAAGAATTATTTCGTTGGGCTCACAGCTTTAGGTATGTCAATCCATGCTCCTTGAATCCATTGGTTCAGGACTGACAATGAAGCAGAATATTATGGCAGAAGGAGAAAGGGTCTGTTGTCTTTATGGTGGACAGGAATCAGAGAACTGCAGAGAACAGGCAGCCCCAAAGACATGCCTCTTAGGTCACACAGTTCCTCAAGCCAGGTACCATTCCCCAGAGTAGCGCCCCCTGCTGGGGGCTAATTATTCAGTCATAAGTCTATGGGGAACATTCCCTATTCAAATTACAAGTGTCGGTTTTTTAACAACACCTAAAGTTGGGGAGAGGCAAAGGAAGAGAGGATTTTTATACAGTAAAGCAAACCAGTCTTGGTTTCTGAAAACACTGATACATGCTATGGCTATCTACCACTGTGTGTAAACCACAGCTCCCCGCTGAAGAAGAAGTAAGGAGGTCAACATAGTTTCATGGTGCCTTTTATTGTGCACTATTGTAACTGTAAAAGTCATGTATGGGAAGGTGATAGAGGGTAAAATACCTTCAGTAATATCCTTGATTTCTATGCCAGTGCTTATGATAATTTAAAAAGCCTCATTGGAGGATATATATGTCTGTTTCTATGTGTCCGTTTTTTTGTTATACTTTTAACATTTCAACATGGCAACCACATTTTCTTTACATTCCATTTTAAATTAAGAGCTAATGGGAAATCATGTAATTTATCTGAACACCTGTCTGCATGGACACACTCATTCTACATGGACCTACTAGTGATAAATTGTTGCTGATCATGTCTTTCCCAGGAGAAGAAGTGGACAGACAGCTATGCAGAGATGCAATCTTTCCCATTCCTGTGGCCTGTGATGCACCATGCCCAAAGGACTGTGTGCTCAGCCCATGGTCCACATGGTCCTCCTGTTCACATACCTGCTCTGGGAAAACCACAGAAGGGAAACAGATCCGAGCTCGGTCCATTCTGGCCTACGCAGGCGAAGAAGGTAAGGTCTTCAGCCTCACATATGACTGTTTTCTGGAAATATATGGCCATTTAATTTGTGTAGTTCTTTAAGGTGACATTCTATGAAAATGAGCTGACAAATCCAGTAACGAATGACATTTTCTATCTGTCCGTGTGGTTTGAGTCTAGTCTTAATAATTAACCTTGAATATATATGTCTAATATATATATATATATAATATATACATATATATGTGTCTAATATATATAATATATATATTCTAATATATATATATGTATATCTTTAAAAATCATTAGCTGTTTTTCTCATTCAACTAATAATTTGCGTTTTTTTTTTCTACTCCAAAGTATACAATGGAAAAAAAAAATCTGAGAATTGGATTATAAAAACCCACACATTTCATTGTTTGTTTGTTTGTTTTTCTATTTCAGTAGTTGGTTTTATCCTTTGACATTCTAATGTCTCATAAAATTAGCACACACATATACTAGAGTTTATTTTAAATTTTAGTGTGGCTTTTGCTTGGTTGAGCATTGTGTGTTTTTGACCAACTATATTATTGTGCACTGGCTCTGAGATCTGAAACCCATAGGACTCAATCATGGATTCACCCTAAGGGTGAATAAGGCACGTTTCTCACACCCCACACACCTCAACTGCAAACTTCATTGCCAAGAAATACAAGGAAGCAATTGCCTCTGAGATGCTCTCCAAATGCTAATTTGTCCTCTGTGTGACTGGGTGGGACAGAGTCACCCTCTTGTCCTTCTGGAAGACAACAGAGGAGTTAAATTCTTCTGCTGAAGTACATTCTCCTGCAGGAGTGTAGGGCCGCCGCTGCAGCCTCCCACAGGAATCACACTTATTCACAATTAGGACTGAGAGAACACAAGTCTCTTTATAGTAAGCATACACACCTATTAAACACTGAAATTAATTGATTTTGTTCGATGATATGTCGTTGGTGCCTTTTTTCTGTTTTCAAGTGTTTAGTCATAGTAACCCATAATCTTATTTAATCGTATGTGCTATTATTTTACATAATAACTACGCATATTTGGCTTTAATACACAAATGCCACATATTATGTATAATACAGTGACTCTTTGGGAAAATTTATGATTTTCATACAGCCCTCAAATATTCTCTGCTATAAATATAAACTATTTGCTCTGAAAAAAAAAGAGAACTTAGAAAAAAATACAAATTTTGGAGGAAGAAAATTACTTTTCTGTGTTCTCAGAAACAACTCCAGCTTGAATAGACTGCCTTCAGACTTCAAACTCTATCAGCTCAGATTATGTCTTGGGTTTCATTAAAATTAGATCTGTGGTCACCCTGCTTCCTGTAAACCCATTATACCCTGCAGACATTGGGCGTGTGACGAGTAATGAGTGACTTTTCACCCCCTGAGCCACATAGCAAGGATTTTGCTGTGTCTGCAAAACTGCGACAGATCATTATGTCTATAGATGAGACACCTCACACTGAAAGGTCTGAATGTTTTAAAGGCACAAACTCATGTTTAGTATTTGATACGTATCATCCACTTAATCTGAAAGAACAGGACTTCAGTAATTTTTAATTACGTCTGGTAGCTGCATTGTAAGGCAGTTGTCCTAGAAGGCTACAGATGTTTGTGTAATACACCCATAAGAGCACGCACGAATCTAAACAAGTCAAAAGCAGACTAGAATTTCTCCAAGTAAATGTCTTACTATCAGTCTCTGTCAATGACATTTACAAGAACTAACGTATTTGTGAGGCAGTTAATGTATTCGTCTGCAAAATAAATTTAATACCTGTTATCTGCTAGATAGGAAAACAACATTTTATTTTTGGGGAAATGAGATGGTTATAATACCAAGCTTTTTAAAATGGGTTTTATTTCCCTTCTGAGAAAACTACATCTATAAGAAGTCTTAAATTAGGCTTTTTATCAATGATATGAAATTTCACATGGATAGGTATTTTATTAGTTTTCAGAAATTAGATCTTAGAATATGTCACAGATTCTTTTATGGAAAATGCTGTGATACTTTCAAAGGAAAACAAAATAGAAATAGTAACAAAAACAACTGAAATAGAAAACAAAACAACATAGTAGTATTTAGAGATGGGATTACATAATTTTTAAAAAAAAAAAAATCAATGTGCAGGGTAGGTGCATAGGCGAGGCAGTCCTGTAAGGAAGCAAGAAGTAAGGCAACTGTGCTTTGTGCTCTGCCTAAGAGCTATAGCCTCAGTCCTAGATCTTACTCTCTAATCCTATTTTACCATAACCATAACTGTTACTGAAAATCTAGGCCAGAGCGTTGCCTTACCCCTGTAGAGTCTGAAAAATACAACAAAGTAGAAACCTTCAGAAGGAAAATTATATTTCCCGACTTGTCAAACTTGAAGAGATTACATTCAGGATAAAAAAAAAAAAAAGTTAGATAAGAAAATGTTAGTAGCTACACCAAGAAGCCTAATGTTTAGCCATCTCTTTCTGGTTATTAACACAAATGAGGGTTGAGTAGGGAAGAGTTATGGTGTGGCAAGAGGCACGCATAGTTAAATGCTGGACCAGACTGTGATCTGGTTTATGATGATCCCAGTCTGCCACTGCAAGATCCTGCAAAGGCCCTTATTTGGAGAATCCCCACCACCATCACCATCCAGAGATGAGTGTTTTCACGACATATGTGGCAGCTTACTTTCTGCCATGGGGCAAATGCTTCCAATTAGGGTAAGATCGTTCATCACTGGATGTTCCACCTGCAGGAAATCATGGTGCAGGGAGGAGAGCTGGACGTTCTGATGGTTCAGAACGCCTGATGGTTCAGCAGTTAAGAGCACTGGCTGTTCTTCCAGAGGACCAGTGTTCAGCCCTCAGCGTCCACACTGAGCAGCTCACAACCACCTGTATCTCCAGCTTTTAAGAAGCTCACACACACACCCATTCCCAGCTTCGAAGGCACTAACACACACTATGGCATGCATACACACAAACACACACATGTAAAAAAAAAATAGACATGTCTTTAAAATGAAGAAATCTTGCTTAATCTAGTAATCCATGTACTTGTGAGTATTGGGGCGACTCAAAATCTCATCTTCTCAATGTTCTGCAATAACTACATGACATTACTTCTGGGATGCCTTACCAGAGTTGCATGCATAGAATCTTACAAAGCATCGGAATGTTGTTACATGATTATAAAATAATGAACACTATATCTTCAGAATTGATTATAAAAATCAAGAAAATAAAGAAGAAATATTTCCAATTATTTCCACTTAACAAGACCCCTAGATGTGATAGTTGATTCTGAATTAAATCCTGTGCTAGGACAATTATTTGAAGGTAGTTGGAAGTTTGCATGGGGATAGGTGTGTTTATATATGGGAGGATGTCTTCCTTACAGGAAATATACACCAAATTGTTCAGAGTGATGAGCTTGCTCATCAACTTTTTACAAAAGATCCAAGAAAATAATTGTTAATTCTGTGCTACAATTATAAAGTTAGCTCAAAAGAACAACAACAAAAAAGAATGAAAATAGTTTGCATATATTTTCTTTCCATGCTATCTTATATTGCATTATACAGCAGAGTATCAGCAATAACACAAATATCCATAAAACAATTCATGCTGAAATATCACTAGGAAACCAAATCACAATTAGAAGCACCTAGAGATAGTCAAGGTGTGAACACAGGAAGAAGTTGACTAGAACTTCTAGATGTTCAAGTATCCTCACAGAATGAAAAAAAATGACAAAACACTTATTTTTGCAAATTTCAAAATGACCTGATATAACCTCCCTAGCCAAATGTCAGTGTGCCTTTATATCTGTCATGTGCAGAGAATAAATGCAGATTTAAATAGAATTATACCAATTTTTCCAAATAATTAGAAGCCTTTGGAACTCATATTTTACAGTGCAAAACTTGGAAGAAATAATAGTTCTATTTTCATATGTTCATGTTTTACAGTTTAGCGATTTTGATTATTAGAGCCACAGAGCAGCTGTGTTTCTTAGAGAATTCAAAGAACCACAGATCCGGGATATGTGCAGATAAGAACATCAGTTGGTGTCTAAGCAGATGGCAGCACTTCCTCATCTCCTTGCTTTAGAGGATTGGAGAAAGCTGCCCCTTAAGAACTCTTCTTCCTCTTTCTGCTAATGCTCCTCAGGATTCAGTCCTCCTAAGGCACGCCTGGGCACGTGCTTCTTGAATCCAGCAGTGGTCTGCCACGAGGGGACATAGGCTGCAACAGCAGGTGATGGTGGAAACACAGAGTCACACTTGGATGAATCCTTTTGCAGTTGTTTTTACTTTTGCTTAGATAAAATGATCTCTTCTTCCTCGTCTCAGAAACTTGCTCTTTTCTTTTCTCAGTGCTAGCTCTTCTTAATTCATCTAAATGCCTCCTTCTTACAGACTTTTTAACTCTCTAAAACACAATGAATTTTACTTCTTTCAAATCTTTATTATATCACATACATCTCAACCTAATTCTGACGTTCCACATAGAATTTCCCTCATGTATGTTTGTCTCACCTTCTCTACCCCTCTACTTCTTTTCCTTGCCATAGCACAATATCCTTGAGTGTAGTGAGTTATTTTTCAATCCCTTTGATGTCCCTTGAAATACCCCATACAAACACTGTACATTACACTCCATATATAGGTATCCAGTTACCTTGAATTGGGCTCTTTTTAAATCCATCATACCAGTTATAAATACATCAGTGCCAGAAACAGCAATTCAATTACTCTGATAACATGCTCTCTAAGAAAGCTTTTACAAGACAGATATGGATAAATTATGTTTTATCTTTCATATTTTGATTTTTTTCTGTATATATACAGCATGTATGTATGTGGTATAGGTACACACATTTTTGTCATACTTCACATTTTATAATTTCTCCATAAGTGTGGAAATACTCCCAAAGGGAGTATTACATCTTCCCATAAATAATAGATATACTTTCAATATTATATTTATCAAATTTTCTAGCATAAAATTATTCCCCAAACTACACAGTGATGCTATCATGACTGATTACATCAAAATCATACATTCAAAATTGCAATATTGTAATAATTAAGAACAACCCGGGGCTTATCTGTACAAGGATCCTACATCAGATTCAAACTGCTGATGTGGCTTTAATACAGATTAGGGTGAAAAAATGGTCTGCATGTCTGTCAGTTTAACAGCTATCCCGCAGTTCCTTGGTATGCTATGCTGATGTCGCAGAAGGTTATGTTTTTTTTTTTCTCTTATCATTTTTCCCCAAAGCCAACTAGTCAATTCACGTCACAAGCAATTTAGAGCTTTAAAATCAGTTTCAACAGGATACTTATTCTTACAATGAATGTGGTGTAGGTACAGAAGTTTGACATTTGAACAGCAATTTCGGTATTAACTATAAAGGAACTGTGAAAAAATTATATATATATGTATATATATATAATATATATATATAACCATATATATAATTAGTATGCATGTGTTAATGTTGAATACATCTAGTACCTGGAGGAAGGAACTCTAGCATTTTCACTTATTTCTCCCCAATCAAACTACCATGTTTTAGAGTCCATTGTATTCCTTGCAGAGGCTGCCAGGGTCACCTACCTGTATGATAGAGACAGCTTGTGAAGTATGACAGACGTCCTCACGCTCATGAGGCAGAGACACTAAATGAAAATGTTCAGGACAGGCTATTCTGATGTTGGAACCACCTTCAACAGCATGCACATGATTCTAAATTGTTATTAACAAACTGCCAGTTGATTAAACTGCTGATTAGAAGGAAATCTCAAAATACAGCTCTGTAATCCCTGGGGATCACCTCTGGTGTTGCCACTACAATCAAATCATCAACGAGGAGAGTAAGAAATTCCTCTAATACCTTCCTTTAACAATATATCTTTTTTAATTTTCACAGCTGGCTAAAAACACAGTCTTCCTAAATTCCTTATTAATGCAGTGGTCGGCGGTCATATGATTTTATATACTTGGGTTAATGCACCCAATAATTTTTATTCACTTGACAGCTGTGAATACAAATGAAGACTCCACCTATGGATTTCATGCAATGGAGCTGGAACATAAATGAATCCAGAACGTTAGCCTTCGTGCCCCGGTCTACTAATCAAAGATGTGTCCATCTGACCTTTAATTTCCTCAGCATTATTGCTTTGTAACGTGAATGCATTCCTGAAATGCAGCAGCTAAGAAAAAGTTATGACATAGTTGCCATCACTTATAGTGATAGTGAGCATTATTATTCTGGCTGTAAATAACAGTCCCAGATATGCCAAAAAGGAGGTAATCAAAATCGGCTCGATACCATTTAAGAAAAAATAAATAAATCCTAGTTATTTGCTTAAGACTTTTAATACATTTTCTGGTGTAATTAAGACTCCAAGAGGACTGGGGATGTGTCTCTGTGATAGAAGACTTGCCTAGCCTGGGAAGGTCCTACATTCCTTCCCCCAGGACTGAAAGTAAAAGAACGTAACAGCGTCAAAATCTAAAGACAGATATCATTATCCTGGAAAAAAAAAATCCTATTAATTACAAGGGACAGCTTTTTTATATTTGTCACATGTACGGGCTGGGGCAGGGTGTTTTCGTGTGAGTGCAGCCCTAAGCCCCAGATACTCTGGGGCTGGAGTTATAGGCTGGTGTGAGCTGCTTGATACAGGGAGCGAGAAACAACTTTGGATTCTCTGCAATACCAGTGCATGCTCTTAATGAATCAACCGTCTCTCCTGGTCCTTGGACAATCCTTTATTTAAAAATAAATAGATAGATAGATAGATAGATAGATAGATAGATAGATAGATAGATAGATAGATAGATAAATAACCTTGACTTAGGATGGTAAGATGGCTAAGTGGGTAAAGGCACTTGCCCCAAAATCTGATGACCTGAGTCCAATCTGGGACCCTTTTGGTGAAAAGAGAGAACTGACTCCCATGACTTTGCCTTTGACCTACACATGCCATGTCATGCCCATGCTCCACCCAATGCACACACATGCACCCACACAAACAAATATAATAATTTTTAATTCAAAATAAAATATTTGCTATCACCAATAACTTTGGTGTTACAGATGATGACAGCATAAAGAATATACAAACTTTGATGTAAATGAGTTCAAACTAACTGAATAGATTTGGACTTTGAATAGAAAAAATTTTAAATTATCTTTTCTTGTCATGTTTGTGAAAGCATAATACAAAACAAACAAACATGGAATTAAGTCACAAAAAGCTATTTCAATAAGTATACAAAAATGAAAGTTAAGCAGAACATAATGTTTAATAGTTTAATTTGAAACCATTTCTTTTTCTTTGGGACACATACAATGAATGTGAATTGCACAGACAATGACATTATAAAGTTGAACAAATATTAGCTACTGTATTGTTTTCTCAATCATACTCCAGAAGATCCTAAGTTTTTACCCAATTTTATCAGACTTGCTTGCAATCAGCTAAAGTCTAATATATTAAGCAGTATGTAGAACCCTGGACTAAGACTTTCAGTTCAGAAGATGACACTTGCAAACACATTCAGACATTTTCATCCATGGTGTGAAGTTGTCTGTTGCTTGTGGATAACAATACTGTGGGCTTCCTGGCATGCACCTGATGTCGTGTTTCTCTGAAGAGCAATGACTTCTCCTCAAAGTCCTGAGCTATCTTCAATATCTAGTATGTATAGTGTATGCTTTATATTTTATACTAGGTCTTCAAAAAAAGAATAATTTGCCTTTTTTTTTTTTTTTTTTTTTTGTCATGTGCTGGTTCCATGCTATGTGCTCAGACACTGGAAGAAACATCATTGTTCGTAGCCCTGAAAATTCCTAGGAAGAGAACAGCAAAGTTCCTGTTGGCGCTCTGTCTAATTCTTTTGTCATTGTGCATTTTTGTAGGTGGAATCCGCTGCCCTAACAGCAGTGCTTTGCAAGAGGCGCGCAGCTGCAATGAACATCCCTGCACTGTGTACCACTGGCAAACTGGTCCCTGGGGTCAGTGTATAGAGGACACATCAGTGTCATCTTTCAATACGACCACAACATGGAACGGGGAAGCCTCGTGTTCTGTGGGCATGCAGACACGAAAAGTCATCTGTGTGCGAGTCAACGTGGGCCAAGTGGGACCCAAGAAGTAAGGCCTTTAGAATGGCAGCAATGCATCCTGTGGTCAGCCATGCAGAGGATTGGCTTGGGCTTTGCTTGCTTCATTAAATGGAGTCTTTGGATGCTTATCATACCTGTCCTCAAGAGAAGATTTGTTTGTTTTGAGTGTCAGTTGCTGATAAGGCTGTATCTACTTCGGAGTCTTGTACCGAGGACCCATAAATTCTGTAGAAAGCTTCCTATCTGGTCCCCGCTTTCAATTCTGTTGCAGCACAGTCTGCTTTTTTTAAGCTGTTGAGGTTAAAAAAAAAAAAAAAAGAAGTGCTTGCTCTGGGCTTGGTTGAACAATTATGACAGTATACAAAGTCCTAGCAGTGGAGGTCATCCATGACCTTCTGTATATCCCTCGGCTTTGAGGCTGACAGTCTAATTAGAAGGAGAAGCCATCTATGATCTGCCTTTCACTCTTCTACACAACACTGTATCGCTGGTAGTAAGACCAAATGTATTTTTCAGTAGTAAAATGAGTAGACATTTACTTCCAACAGAGAGCATTGGCACAAGATGGCTGTTATGACAACGAGAAAACCCATCAGTTTCTTATGGGTTAAGAACATGGTAACAAGGAAAACTGCTTGCTGGTGGGAAAGACAAAGAAGCAGAAATGTGGCGTGTTAAGGGTGTCTTCTAACAACTATAAGCAAAAGCAAGTAATGGGATGAAGGGGATAATCAATTCTCAGAGAAAAAATTAATAAACTTTCTAAAACTATTTTTGAGGGGAACATACTATTTATTTTTTAAAACAGCATATTTTTAGTAATTCAAATGTCTTTAGCCATATGGAACATGGACAGTAAAACAACATGTTTCACACAGGCGTAGCTATGGCCTTTACTTTCCAAATTACTAGCCAGGTGGTTTTGTTTTCAAAGTCAAGTGAAAGGATTATATAGTGAAAAATCCGCTGATGTAGTCACTCAATAAACAGTAGGAATTACTGGTTTAAAAATGCAAGTTAGCTCTTTTGCTTTTTTTTTTTTTTTTTTTTTTTTTCTGTTAGTGACTTTAGCTCTTTGAAGATTTTGGAGATGCATAGAAAACATTCAGGTTACTCTTCCCATCCTCTTTTTTGCAGCTTCACATCCTGATTACAATCCCTTCTCCCTACCTGTCCTTTTCCAGTTACGTGATTTTTAGTTTTGTTTTATGAGACTTTCCAATATGAGAAGAATAATTTATCTGACATTTAGAAAACCCTAGAGATATAAACAAGAGTCCCATTGTGCACTTTTATCTTGTTAGCATTCCAGATATTAAGGAGATATTTAGCTCCACAGTGTGGTTATTTATATCATTTGAAAATTTAAAGTGTATTAGAAAGTATGTGCCAAAGAGAACATTCGGCACACTTCATGTGGTAACCCCAAACCAAAATGTTAATGGAAAATACACAAAGGCTATTATTAATTTGACTCAGGAAATTAACTTGCAGTATATTAAAATTCAGTGGTGCTAGCAGCAGCAGGGGTGAAAGTCCCAAGTCCTGACAGAGCCTCTTCTTGCTGAGATGGAAACAGAGGTAGAAGTGCTCAGTGGACCAGGCCAGGATGAGCGATAGTATACTGATTTGCAAAAGGCTTGCTCCATCTGACAGATAATGCCTTTCAGAAGTTACAACTTAAACCCACTACAAAATGAAATGCTGTTCCTAGGTGAAGGGTATGTATGTGAACAAGGATCTCTGTGAGAAAGAGCCCTGCTGGGTCCAATCTCTTGTCATTCAATAAGAAGGGTGTCCAGATGCCTCATATCAGACCACCTCAGTAATCCAGAAAAAATTTACTGTGCCTCTACAGCCATTTTTCAATGATCTGGATACATCGATAGATTTGTTAAATCATCTGGGTTTCCTTTTACCCTTAAAATTGTAGGAAATTACACCAAATACATTAAGTTCAAAAGAAAATGTTATTGCCCTTCTCCCTAAAGCTAGGTTAAATTCAAGAAATTCTTTCCAATGCAAGTCATTTGAAACAAAAAATGCAAATAGAAACCTTGTTTTAAACTCTTCTTAATAAAATAGATGCCTGAGAGATGGCAACATCAATATTATTGATCTCATCTACCCTCCCAGGTAACAAACTTCAACTCCTATCACATCTGTTTAATTTGACCTTGAATAAGATTGGGAGGAGGGAGGAATCAATTCTTTGATTTAAACCACAAATGCTAAATACAAACAGTTCCAGTGAAAGGAAGCAGGCTGACTGAAACAATCGCCTCACCAAAGGAAGTCGGGATTCATTGTATTGGATGTAATCTAGGCTGTAGAATTTATCTTCGTGTGTTCATTTAATGAGTTTGTTGTTAGTAATTTTGCACTCCACAGTTAGCCAAGTATCTTGCTGTGGCTATTTCCAAACTAAAAGACTATATGGAGGGTCAATGATAACATTGTCAATTCCACTGATTTATTTAGGGCTACATATTTGAAGAACATGCAGTTGAGTAATGGCCTCCTGTTGTTAAAGTTATAAAATGCCTCATTGAAAAGAATTGCTTTCAATAATAATTACTGACCAGTAGCTCTATAATCCCCAAAGAACGCTTTGGATTATATGTGATATTTTGTCATAGGATATTTTCAAGTTAAATTATAATTCAGTCTTATAAAAGTCTAAATTATAAAAACACAACAATTTCTATGATTCATATTCAAATATTTTTTTCTGCCCAACATTTTAAAGAGTCACAACAATTAGAAAAATCCATGTTAATCATCAACTAAGCAAGGTTATTGTTATTTTTTATGTTAAATCTTAAATATTTTTAAGTTGTCTTCCAAATTAGCCCGATTGTCTAAAGTAAGAAAACACATTTTGTTTGCAATAGAAAAGAGCATTATATTTGTGTGAGAAAGGACATGTAGGCAAATAATTATAGGATATATTGAAAATGGAGTGTCATGGAAATACTATAAAGAAATTATTGGAAACATAGTGTTATTTTTACTCACCATTTAGTTCTTTAAAGGTGACTAATATGGAACTGAGTATGATGATTCACACCTTTAATCCCACTACTCAGGAAGCAGAGACAGACAGATCTCTGTGAGTTTGAGGCCAGCCTTGTCTTCATAGTGAGTTCCAGGCCAGCCAAGGCTACGTAGTGGGACCCTGTCTCAAAAATAAATAGAAAAGAACAGGCCAATCAGTTCATGTCAGAGATAGTCCCTGTCCCCATTACTATGGAGGCCACTTGGATACTGAACTGCCATAGGCTACCTCTGTGCAGGGGTTCCAGGAGACCTCCATGAGTGGTTCTTCGCTAGAGTATCAGTTTCAGAAAAGACCCCTGCGCTCACTCCCGAGGAGGGAGCAGCCTTACCAGGCCACAGAAGAAGACAATGCAGCCAGTCCTGATGAGACCTGATAGACTAGGATCAGAGGGAAGGGGAGGAAGACCTCCCTTATCAGTGGACTGGGAGAGGGACACAGGTGGGGAAGAGGGAGGGTAAGATTGGAAGGGTAGGAGGGAGGGAGGTACATGGGGGCTACAAAGTGAATAAACTGTAATTAATAAAAATTAAAATAATTTAAAAAAAACAGAAAAGAAGGAGGAGGAGAAGGAGAGAGACAGAGAGAGCTATAGAGATAGAGAACTGAGAGATTCAAGGAGAGACAGAGAAAGACAGAGAGACAGAGCAAGCAAGCTTCATGGACTATGTTCAGTCCCAGAACCATAAATCAAGCATAACCACATGTCCATACCCACACACATTCTATATACACACATGTATGTATATATGTATATATACATATATACATACATATATACAGGATTGTGACACTAATACTAATAATTATTATTAACAAATATTGTCATAATATATTTTTGTCCTATTATTATGAAATATTTAGCTACAGATATAGAAATTGAATCTTAACATTGATATTTTGAATTCCTAGAAATTTTTATTATGCATGTTAGAAAAATACATATTTGCTAGTGAAGAGATTAACCTAAAGGGAAAACTGTAGTAGTCATATTTCTTCTAGGTAGCATGAGTGTCATCAAGTCTACGTATTTGTTATGGCATAGTCTTGTCCAAGTGCAGTTGGAGAGAATTAAGTTAGCTGGACGGGGCTTGTGAAAAGAAGCCTTGAACGCTGAATAATATAGGCTTATGAGGTGACAGATTCACATAGCAATGAAAATTAGAAGAAAATTAAGTACTTGGTTTTGTGGCTAGTTAAAGGCTTCATAATTTCTTGTCTTGTTCTAGGTGCCCTGAAAATCTTCGGCCTGAAACAGTGAGGCCTTGCTTGCTTCCTTGTAGGAAAGATTGCATTGTGACCCCATACAGTGACTGGACACCATGTCCCTCTTCATGCAGAGAAGGTATGGAGCACAGAGTCTGGAGGCTCTTCACCCAGAACCCTCATTCAGCAGGGCATCTGACATCTTGCAGAGCGATGTCCGTGCTTCTTACCCAGGGCCTTGTTGCCATGGCTTTTCTTGGATTTCTCCCCAGAAGTGATACTACGTTAGAGTACCTGGCCGGCAGTAAGTTTTAAACTGCCTTGAAGTTTCATTATAAACCTCAGATTGAAATTATTTTAGATTTTATTAATAAATCTTATATTTCATTAATCCTGGAAGTATCTATACTGGTCTAGATTTTTAAAAGAGTTTCCAGGGACCTCAGTACACATGGCTTCTAAACTACTTACAGGCAAGAAATAGCCTGAGACCAGGTTTGCTACAGATTCAGTTATGTGGCCCAAGGATGGATAAAGCAAAGAGAATGAGGGGCAAGTTCTTTCACTGCCGACACTTAATGCGCCAGGAGGCATTTCCAAGAATATTTTTCCCTGCCAGATTTACTTTTGCTTTTGTGATTTGCAAAGCCTTTTATTATCATGGAAGATTCCCCTAATAAATCTTTCATTACCCTTTGGGACATGATCTTTTAGCATTCCCACTGAGAGACATTTTCACACCTTCCGTGCAACTTACACAATAACAGCAAGAGTTTTCCGTGTGAAAGACAACGTTGTCCCCTATTTTCCTGTTTGCTCTCTCTATGTGTACGTAGTGGTAGTGTTTATGCTTCTTGATGCTCATGGGATATTTGCAATTAATTGTTAAATTCTAGTTTAATGACCTTTTAAACTTACTAAATTTTATTTTTAACCACTTAATTTTCTGATTGTCATAATAAATTATTTTTTCATTTTCTTTTAAATTTATTTTTATTTATATATTTATTTGCTACCATTTATTCACTTTGTAACCCTGCTGCAGCCCCCTCCCTCATCACCTTCCTGTCCCACCCATCCTCCCTCTTCTCCCCCTATGCCCTTCCCCTAGTCCACTGATAGGGGAGGACCTCGTCCCCTTCAGTCCGACCCTAGCTTATCTGGTTTCATCATGTTTTTTTTTTGTTGTTGTTGTTGTTGTTGTTTTGTTTTGTTTTCTTTTTTACAGAATATCATTGAGTATAGATGAAACATAAGTGTGGGAAATTTTATTCGTGTTTGTGTGATAGGACCAGGTATTTCAAATGGATGCAGATGAGAAACATCAGAGGGTGAGGGGGAATGAGACACTGTCACAGGTCATGTCTGTGGACAGTCTATAGGGCTGAGGGGTAACGAAGGAACTCTTGGGAGCTGGGTTGATAGAATGTGATCTACAGTGCTCAGATATAAGGAAGAATAAAATTGAGTCATTTGAAATTTTATTTTATTCATCTCCCATAATACATCTTGAAAAAAAAAAAACAATGTCAATAAAAACCAGCACTAATTTATGGGTAGTTTGGTGCTCAAATATTTTGTTAACTTCAAAAACTTTATTTATGAAATTTGAAACTCTTTAGAATATAAATCATGTCTGGATATAAATCTTTTATTATTATCATTTATTACAGTTTATTCAATCTGTATCCTGGCTGTGGCCTCTGCCCTCATCTCTTCCCAATCCCACCCTTCCTCTCTCTTCTTCTTCTCCTGTGCCACTTCCCTAGTCCACTGACTGGGGAGGTCCTCCTCCCCTTCTATCTGACTCTAGCCTATCAGGTCTCATCAGGACAGTCTGCATTGTTTTCCTCTGTAGCCCCACAGGTAGGTGTTCAGAGAGCTTGCCACTGAGTTCATGCCAGAGACAGCCCCTGCTCCCCTTACTAGGAGACCGAGTCTATAGGCTACATCTATGGGCTCTGCATGCATGATCCTTGATTGGGATATCAGTCTTTGCAGAGCCCCAGGACCCAGCTTTTTTTTTTTTCTCTCTTTCTTTTTCTTTTTCTTTTTGGCTTTCTTGGTTAGCTTCTTTTTCTTAATCCTCAATACAGGCTTAGACCTAGGTAATTATTTCAGGGAATAAAGAGAAACAAATAGAATATGCTAACAAACCATTTGAATGAATGCAAAATAAGTATTTTTTTCATTCAGTAAGTATAAATCACTTCCTATGTGTGGACAGTTTTGTGGCTATTCATAGAGATCTGTAGAAACACTATATGCATTTCAAACATAATAAACTGGGCGTAAATATATACAAAAAAGTTTTAAAAGCTGTGAAATTCCAAGCTGACTACCAAAATTAGTGAATAATTTTTCTTTTTTTTACCCCATGGAGTCTATAGCTACACATTTTCTATAGGTAACCTGACTGAATCCTAAAGTGAACACACAAGCAAACTCTTAACTATATTTAGAAGTCCTGATACTCCCTGTGTTGCACCATTAAATTTCCTGCGTGCTACAGCTTTAAAGTGTTCCAATCTAATCAGGGTATAGCCTTTATCCTATGACTAAAGAAGATGAAAGATTTTGAACTTAACCCCTGCACAGATGTAGCCTATGGCAGCTCAGTCTCCAAGTGGGTTCCCTAGTGGGGAAGAATCTCTCTCTGACATGAACTCAGTGGCTGGCTTTTTGATCACCTCTCCCTGGGGGAAAGGGGAGGAATGGCAGGCTTACCAGGCCACAGAGGAAAACAATGCAGACAGTCCTGATGAGACCTGATACACTAGGTCAGATGGAAGAGTAGGAGGACCACCTCTATCAATGGACGGAGGAGGGGCATGGGAGGAGAAGAAGGAGGAAGGATGTGGTTGGAAGGGGACGAGGGAGGATGCTACAGCTGGGATATTCAGTGAATAAACTGTCATAAATAAAATAAGAATAAAATAGACTATCATTGTACAGTCAATTAAAGAAGAAAAAATTACTCGAAGCTTTGATTTGTAACATACATGTCTATGTCTGAATAAAAAGATACCAGAAGGATATTACAGACTTGTATGTCAGATAGCATATGTGTTTGAAAAGTTGAAAAAATTAAAAAGGAAAGCAGACATTGGAACATGTGAATTGGAACATCCTTGGCTGTGTGCAAGGACATCTACACAGTTAGTACTTAAGAACTTTATAAGCTGTCATTGATGGTGAACTCGTGGTCCACTCCAATTTCCAGGCCCTTGTCCTTAATTATGTGTCTAACTTCCTTACACAAACCAAAAAGGCCTAGAAGTGACTTCCTCTAAATATTTTGACCACCTGGAAAACAAAGAATCCTATTTTGGTGATTTTTTTTTCTTAATGAAGAAGACAGAACAAGAGAGGAACTGAGGGAGGGAGGAAGCAACAGAAGGAAGAAGGAATAAAACAATCTTTCTTCACGTGCTAAGCAAATAATCAGATGTCTACTTAGTTTTCATGCTCTTTTTTTCAAATATTCAGTATTGATCCTAAGCATATATTAAATAAAAGAAAAATTCAAAATAATAGAAGGGTAGAACAAAGTACTGAATTGGGAGAGTACAGGCAAACTTAAAGAAACAGCAAAAAGAAAAATCAAAGTTAATGTATGCTCCTGTAATGGAGAAGAAAATTAGCTCTGAGATTCCAGTGACCAAAAAGAAAAACAGAAGCATAATGGATTCTCAAAAGCATCAAGAGAAGTGAAAATGCTTTTATCTTTCAATAGTTAGAGCGGTTTATCACCTGGGCTTGAAGCTAGGAGTCATTGGAACAATATAATGGAGAGGCATTGCTAACACTAAATTTCTATTGACATTTCTTAGATCTTCTCAGGATAAATCATATTAAAGCAAATGCCAAAGTTGGTATTCAAATTTACACTCTTTTAAATTTGTTATAATAAAAAGTCCACAACAGTGTTCCTAAATATTTCAATTCCTAGCTGCTACCAGACTCAGTCCCCAATTCCCTACTCCATTAACTATAGTATTCCAATTATTCATTAACGTAATTATTGTAGATAAAAGCATTATTCACACACAATGGAAATGATCCTAACAATATACAGTAGTCCAGAATCTTAAATTGGGACAAGATGCACACAGCCATCTGTGTTCTTCCTTTTCCCAATGTACATCACAAGCTCCTAAAAGGCTTTTTTTTTTCTTTTTTAAATTTATTTATATTTTTATAAATTACAGCTTATTCACTTTGTATCCCCACTGTAGCCTCCTCCCTCCTCCCCTCCCAATCCCACTCTCATCTCCTCCCATGCCCCTCCCCAAGTCCACTGATAGAGGAGGTCCTCCTCTTCTTCCCTCTGACCCTAGTCTATCAAGTTTTAAACCAACTGGACTGGCTGCATTGTTTTCCTCTGTGGCCTGGTAAGGCTGCTCCCCTTTCAGGGGGAGGTGATCAAAGACCAGCCACTGAGTTCATGTCAGAGACAGTTCCTGTTCCCATTACTAGGGAACCCACTTGGAGATGGAGCTGCCATGGCTACGTCTGTGCAGGGATTCTAGGGGTTCTAGGTTATTTCCATGCATGGTCCTTTGTTGGCGTATCAGTTTCAGGGAAAAAAATGAAACAAACAAACAAACAAACAAAAAAAAACCTGTGCCCAGATCTTTTCGATCTGTTGCTCTCCTTGTGGAGCTCCTGTCTCCTCCAAGTCTTCCTATCTTCCCATTCTTTCCTAAGATTCCCTGTACTGAAATCAATCTGTTGCTTTCTCAGACAATTAGGAATAGTAATTCCTCAAGATTCAGCTGTAGCTTTCCTAGGCATATATCCAAAACATGCTCAAGTATACAACAAGGGTATTTGCTCAACCATGTTCATAGCAGCTTTATTTGTTATAGCCAGAATTTGGAAACAACCAAGATGTCCCTCAACTGAGGAATGTATATAGAAATTGTGGTACATTTACACAATGGAATACTACTCAGCAATTACCAAGGGAACCGTGAAATTTGCAGGCAAATGGAAGGATCTAAAAAAGATTATCCTGAGTGAGGTATCCCAGAAGCAGAAAGACAAACACGGTATATACTCACTTATAAGTGGATATTAGAGATAGAATAAACATACTAAAATCAGTACACCTAAAGAAGCTAAGGAGGAAGGAGGACCCTGGATAAAATGATCAATCCTCACTAAGAAAGACAAATAGGATGGACATTGGAAGAACGAGAAAACAGGAAACAGGACAGGAGCCTACCATAGAAACCCTCTGAAAAACTACCCAGAAGTGTAACAAAGCAGATGCTCAGACTCATAATCAAACTTTGGGCAAAGTTCAGGAAATCTTATGAAAGAAGGAGGAGATAATAAGACCTGGAGAGGACAGGAGCTCCACAAGGAGAGCAACAGATCCAAAAAATCTGGGCACAGGGGTCTTTTCTGAGACTAATACTCCAACCAAGGATCATTCATGAAGATATTCTAGAACCCCTGCTCAGATGTAGCCCATGGCAGCTCAGAATCCAAAGTGGGTACCCTAGTAAGGGGAACAGGGACTGTCTCTGGTATGAACTCAGTGGCCTGTTCCTTGATCACCTCCCCCTGAGGGGGGAGCAGCCTTACCAGGCCACAGAGGAAGATAATGCACCCAGTCCTGATGAGACCTGATAGGCTACAGTCAGATGGAAGGGGAGGAGGACCTCCCCATCAGTGGACTTGAAGAGGAGCATGGGAGAAGATGAGAGAGGGAGGGTGGGATTGGGAGGGAATGAAGGAGGGGGCTACAGCTGGGATACAAAGTGAATAAACTATAATTGATATAAAAAAATTTAAAAAATGTCTATACACACACACACACTCAAAACAAAAACAAAACAAAACAGAGTCCCAAACTCTGCTATCAAGAACAATGACTTAGTGGTTCTGGGTTTCAATTCAGCTGATTGCTGTTATTTTTTCCGACTTTAAAGGGCTTCTCCAGCACAGGCTCTCAGAAATTGCTGGTATCCAATCCATATTTTTGCCTGGCACATGAGTCTAAGCATGGTTGCCACTGTTTGCCCATCTTTGTGAAAAGGAACACCTTGAGTTCATGAAAAAGGGTTTTGTTATGATTAAATTTTCACTTTCAAATCTTTTTATCTTATAACCACAATAACTTCTGAAATGTTTTGCTTCCTTTGTGATTAAACTTTGCTTATGAAAGGTTATAAACTCTATAAAAGTAACCCCCACTGTTCTTGTATGTACTCTGTATGAAATATTTAATAATCTTGCAAAATAGCGTAAACACATCAGGAATTATGTTATCTGATGACATCAACCCCTACAGAATTCTTTTCTAAGCAAAATTATACCATATAGCTAGCTACTCACCTTTAAGAGATATGCATATGAAAATTGAAATCAAAGCTGGCAAACTCTTTATCTGTACTTATAATCTAAAAAAAAAACAAATTTCAACAATTAAATCTGTAAAACGTTCATACTGTCAGACCGCTATCTTAATTGAAGATAAAGCTTCATCCTGACCCCAATTTTTAGAAATTATTTGGAGTTATTTACTTACACTAATTACTGCTATTTTTGACACTTCCTTAAAAAAACCTTTCTTTGAAAACTTTTTGTTTTTCTACTTGGAGCATGATGCACAGAGAGTGGTCTGAAATGAAGCTCTTAGGCTGCTTAGCATGAGCAATAATTTATAAGTAATGCATCTCAAATAAAAAGAATAACGAAGATAGCATTATAACATTGAGCACGTCCTCCTAGGGAAGATTCATGACAAGAGTATGTTTCCCACGTGGCAAACATAGCTACATGAGATGACACAAAGATAGACTTATAGTAAGGGAAAGGATGTAATTAGATCTGTTGTTTTTCTCAAGGGGACAGGAAAATACAAAAGAACAATTACTTTGTAAATGCAAAGTAGAAGGACCGGTTGACTGTGGAACTGTTTCTTTTCTATCTTTACATTTTAAAATATAACCCGTACAGGAATTTTAATTCAGAACATGTCTGTTCCGGCAAGTGATCACATCCAAAGACCTTCTAGGTCTGTGTGATCAGGCTGGAATACAAACACATGTTTAATCCAGGGGACAGAGGCATGCAGATCTGAGCTCAAGGCCAGCCTGGTACAGGTGGAAAAAACAAAAACAATCAAACAAACAAACAAAAAAGCTTAGGTCCAAGTGTGGTGGTACAGGCCTTTAACCCCAAATAATGAAGGTAAAGTTAGTTCCTAGAAGGAAGCATCCGTGTTTGAAAGTGATGGATGTTTAATTGAGTGACAGAAGTAGAGATGAATCAGAGAAATGTCTGACAGAATAGGATACACCAAATCCTCACAAGAGAAAAGAAAGGGAAGCTACTTAAGGGGCAAGGCAGAGAGAGAAGCCGCAATTTCACTGGGACAGTAGAAGACTGATTGAGCCAGAGAATGAGAAGCCAGGAGATTAGAGCAGATTGCTTGAGTTAGTGTGAGGCCAAGCAGAGCAATTCAGTCGCTGAGCAAAAATCTAGTTTGGACAAGTCACCTGGGAGAGTAGTTTAGGCCAGAACAGCTGATTTGAACCAGCCAGCAGTGTTCAGAAAAAAAAAAAAAAAAAAAAAAAAAACAAGTAAGGGAGAGCTTATTGAGCAGTCTCAGAGACCGAAAATATTCTAGGCTTAGGTTAGACTGTATGAAGGCTAGGAGCTTCCAGGTTTAGGCCTAGATTAGCAGACAGAGGCAACAACCCTCTGAGACAACATTTGAAACCGGCGAATAAAAGTTCCTTTTACAGTAACCAGAATGGGTTTTCAAGATAAGTGGTCTGTGGGACAATTAGTAAAAGTAGATGAAATAAGGCCTCTCATTCAGGCATGTCACAGCACATGCCGCTGGAGGCAAGGAAATTTCTTCAAGCAACTGGTATTGAGAGATTCTGTTATCAGTACAATATAGAGAGGTTAAAAAGCTGCTTCCTCGCAGGGGTTTCGGGAGCCAGGAAGCAGTCGCGACAACGGTTCATCATTCAGCTGCCAGCCAATGGAGGCCGGGAATGCTCAGAGCCTCTGTACGAAGAGAAAGCCTGCGAGGCCCCTCCCCCGTGTCACAGCTACAGGTAAGGGAGGGAAAGGAGGAAGGTGGAGTGCTGGCTAATTTCCGATCACATCTTTCAAGCCGGTATCCCTTCCACCAGCACAGAAGGATGTTCACTGTTGGAGCCACCATCCCTCACCTGTTATTTCACAGATCGTCTCTCCTTCACAAGTTTCCTCTCAGGAAGCAAATACATGTGTCAGTTTCCCAACCGTACAGATAGCTCTCGTAGGTGGTGAGAAGGTCGTCTATTGATATAAAGTGGAGGTTAGTGGTAAATTTGCCACTTTTATACATGTACCATTAATTTGGAGATGACAGGCTAGTCTTTACCGTGTGCTCATAGTATGAACATTATTGACTGTTTACCCAAAGTATTCAGTTTTGGAATCTGTTGTTGTTGTGGGATATTGTGATTTCAGTTGTTGTTACTTCTGTGGTGATCATCCGAAGGTCGCTATAGGGAAGACTCCTGACAGGACTGGTGTTTAATTAGTGGGATGCAATACTTCTGGTGTCAGCTGGGGCATATTTTGGTAGTGTTAATCAGAAGTCTAAATGCCCTCTGTCACTCTGTTGAGTCTGTTTCTGCAAAACTTGCCAGTGATACAGTCTTGTCTCTAGGAACATAGGAAGAATGTTGTGTTTAACGTTGTCTTTATAACGGGTTAGTGAGTGGCTGAGTTAAACATTGCTAAATCTGAATGTGGGTTTCTGTTGCTACTACACTATCTCCTGATTTGCCTGCCTTCTCTGCTTCCTCTCACTGGGATTTTGTTCTTCTCCTTGTAGGTGGAAGACACACAAATGGCGCAGGTGCCTGTTAGTTCCTTGGAGCATTCAACAGGATGTCCCTGGAGCACAGGAAGGCTGCGGGCCTGGACGGCAGGCAAGAGGTGGGGACGGCACACCAGTGTTGATTTGTTTTGCACTTCTCCAATGTTCTGTCCTTTATCTCCACCACTGCCTTGTTGCATTTAACTTTGATAACAGGGTTTGGCAGAGCAGAGCAGAGAGGAACAGCTTTGACCTATTCTACAAAAAAAAAAAAAAAAAAAGAAGAAGAAGAAGAAAAAGAAACTAGAAACTAGAAAAGCTCTTGAAATTTTGTTCTTTGTCAATAACGCATAACTGTTGAATTCTTCCCCAATTAATAGATGGAAGAAAAATAGACGCTGGGTTTGGTTGTGACATAGATAGCAATATAACTAAGCTTTTTGTGTGTTTTTAAATCATGGTAATTCATAGCACTTTACTTGACATCTTAACAATGATTCATATGATTTGTAATCTTTGCTTAAATGCATCATATTTGTGTGTGCATACAATGTAATGTAACTTGATAGCTTTCCTGAAATTCTCAACGGTGTCATTCCTAATATTGCAAAGGCTGTCCATGGCCCCAATCATATTTGATACTGGCTTTTATACTATTTATTGACTCGAAGCTTGCAGTATGTGAAGTTTAGACTGTCTGCACTGCTACAAAACATGACTCCTGCATAAGTTTGTAGAGGAAGGTTTTCACATTTGTCATTATTATGTGCTGCATTTTATAAGAAATAAACCTCAAGCTTTGGAGACTATTGTTCATTCTCACGCATGAAATAGCAAACCTGGAGTTTACATACTTTATTGTTTTTACTCATACAATCTGTCAATAGTTAATATAGTTTTTACAGTTAAAAAATTTCACTCTTGAAGAAAACCTCTTTTTAGAAATCTATTTTACATAGTACTTTTAAGAAGTCTTCATTTGAAGGATAAATTTCGCCTTATTACTTATATTTTCTATAGTATGACATTCAGAATCCGTTTTACTTGTATAACTTTCACTGAGAATCTTCTGCTGTGGGGAAGAGTGTCTGTGATGTCCCATGAGCTGACGTGACATCCCGAGCCTGTGTGTCTCAAGCAGTGATTGGACAAAATAGACAGTCTGGTAGTAATAGTAAAAATCAAGATTTATCAAAAATTAAACTAAAAAGCAGAGAATATCCACCACAGGGTGGAAGCAGGGTCTAGCAAGCACATGGATTAAAAGCTGGCTTAGAGTACAGATGCATTTATATACCAAAAGGCAGAGAGGGGATTTCTGAAGGGGTGGATCTTTGGTTGGCTGCTCTAAGTGGGGTGTGTGTGTGTGTGTGTGTGTGTGTGTGTGTGTGTGTGTGTAATGGCCTTTCTCAGTTAATTGTTCTAGAGCTACTCATAGTCCCACAAATCTGACCCTATCTTTCTGTCTCATGTCCATCATAAACCTTAAATAAAATGACTCTGGCTACAGCTATAGAGAACTGAGGGTCACTCTTCCCATTGTAAATTTTCTTCAAAAATTTGAATGATGCAAAGCATTATCATTCACTGATAACTCATCTTTTGAACCAAGTGTGAATTCATGTTCATTCCTGGTTCTACACAGAATAGCAAAAGACCAGGGGAATGGGTAGGTTTCGAAGTCTGGATAAACAAACTTCATTTGTACAATTCTTGTACAAATGCAAGGTAAGCTTTCCTTATCTAGTCACTTTTGTAGGTGGGAAAAAAACTGGTTCAGTTGTAGATTCTTTCAATTTTAATAAATAATCATTAACAAATAGTACTCAGCAATCAATGGTCAGAATATGAGAAGTATATTTTATAGATTATAAAATGGTAATAAAATGGTTGTGCCAGCTAGTTCTGTGTCAGCTTGGCAAAGTTAGAGTTATCGGAGAGGAGGGACAACAGTTGAGAAAAATGCCTCCATAGACTGGCCTGTAGGCAGGCAGACCTATGGTACATTTTAAAAATTTCTGCCTGATGTGGGAGGGCCCAGCCCATTTTGTACAGTGCTATCCTGGGCTACTGGTTATCCTGGGTTCTATAATCCATCAGGCTGAACAAGCCCTCCAGAGCAAGCCAGTAAGTAGCATTTCTTCAGCTCCTGCCCCGCTTTACTTCCTGTCCTGATTTCCTTCAGTGATGAACAGTGATATGAGATCACTTTTCCATTCCTCCCCGAGTCGCTTTTGGTCATGTTTCATCACAGCAATAGAAGCCCTAATTAAGACAATGATGGGCATGGCACACATGTGAAAAGGCTTCACAATTCAAAACTCCACTATTGAAAGCTGTACAACCTTGAGTGATTCACTTCCTCCATTTGAGACTAAAACCACAAGAGCCTTGAAGCATTGGGATCACATTGTCTTCATGGGAAGGGAATTTCCTCTCCTTCCTGTCAGTCAGTGACCCTAAGGACTGCGCAGAATGTCACAGGGGCACAGAAGCAACAAGATAAACAAGAGCCGCTTGCTGTTTGGGCATACTGTCTGTTCAGAAACTGATTTTTTATGATGACAATTAACCTTTTCATGTGGAAAGCTGACAGCCTCTGTTCTATTCTGGTCCTAGTGAGTTCTTCTTAATATCTAACACTTCTACGCACTTCCTCTAAGAAACAGAAAGTTGTCTTTGGCTCCCTCGGTGCCACTTTCTCCTGGCTTTTGAGTGCTCATTTCTGACTTCCTGATTTGTATCTCTTCCTTCCCCAGTCTTTAAGCAATGTTTTTTTAAATCTTAGTACAGTCCTCATACTGTTCTCTCCCTCCCTCCCTCTCTCTCTCTCTCTCTCTCTCTCTCTCTCTCCCTCTCCCTCACCCTCTCCCTCTCCCTCACCCTCTCCCTCTCCCTCTCTCTCTCTCTCCACCTTTCAGGTAACCCGGGAGAACAAAGTTGCATCATTATAGCAACTGGTTTCTGTGTAACTAACTTTAGGATAACAACTTTTATGCAAAAAGAGGCTTCCTGGCTTTATTACTCCAGCCTGTGGAGCTCTCTTTTCCTGGCAGCCTGTATTCTTACAGGGCATGAGATGGAGAGAAGTTTCTTCTGTCTGTGCAAGGAAGGAAACGTTTTCTTGCATTGATATTCTATCCACGGTTGATTCCAGGCTGTGCTTGGTTAGCTTGTTAATGTCTCACTGTCTTTATCTTTGATATCATATGGTCACAGGCAAAATAAAATGAAAGAAAATGTTTTCCTTTAGAGACTGAAGTAATCATGTTGCAGTAATTCAATCAGCAACATCTATAGAATGGGAACCTCTGTGTCTCCTAGTACATTGGACTTTCTAATCCAGCTGCTCATTCATTTGTGACTTCACTGAGAAGGCTGTGCAGAAAGAGCCATAGGTGTGAAACCGAAAAGCTTGCATCTCTTAGGGAAAGGAGATCATTTAATCCCACCCAACAAATTGGAGTTAAAGAATAAAAGCAATTGATTTCAAATCTGATCATTTGAAGCTGACAGTAAGAAAGACTTGAAGGACCAGCTCTACTTGACTTGTTCCCTCTTACTGGAATAAGCAGAGAGAGGAGGGCCATTCACAGTGTGATCAATTCTACAAGCTAAGCATTTGATTTAAGAAATGGAGTTCATAAGCTTATAGAAAAGTTGGTAGGTTAAGGCCACAGACATGTGAGCTGGAGCCTGGGGTGATTTTGTGGAGACATATAAATGTCAGGATCCATGTTTGAGACTGTGTTCAATAAGTGAAAAGAGCGAGGCCTGCTGAAGGCTGTGTTTTATCTGGCAGCATGTGCAGAATAAATTAGAACGATAAGACACTTGGGCCCAGCTTCTGGCTAAGATGCTACTGGAACAATGAAAGGAGGACATATCACTGGCTCAGACAAGAAATTCAGTGTAAAAATGGACAGAAATAAATAGTTATTGGACTTACAGTAGTGAAGATATGTGTAGGACTTCGTGGCAGAGACTAGAATGGATAGTAGAAATAAGAGTTAAAGCTGAACCTTGGACTCTTTAACTTCAATACTCTCAGCTTCACAATAGTTCCACTGGTGAAATAATTAATTCTGAAGGCTGAAATAATTTGGGAAGTTGTAGTTTGTATTATTGGCATGGTATAGCCTCCAAGGAGAAAGAGCCTAATCTGAGACTGAAACAGGTGTGTAACTGCAATGATGGCATAGAATGGTGAACGGTTATTTGACCATTTCATGCTGATATGCTGTACTATAGAAAACCTCAGATCCTCAAGATATTGTATTTATTTATGTAAAAACACAGTAATAATAGTTTCCACTATTATGTTCCCTTTATCTCTAGCTTACTTGTTCTAAAGCTCTTTAGAGTTAATATTTCTTTTAAGAAGAATTTTAAATAAAATTAATATTTTTATAATTTACTAACATAAAATTAACTTTAAGTTTAATTTCTTTACATCAGAAATTCCATTCTATGAATTTAGAATATATCCGCTACCATTGAACACCATGCTAGGACTCTAAAACTGGATACATTTATTGTGTGGTCTTTATCAAATAATTTACCTATACCAAAGATTACTAAACTATAATTTGTTGACCAAATCCAGCCCACTGCCTGTTTCTTTGTAGTTAACATTGTGTTGAAACACAGCCACACCAATTTCTTGACGTTTTGCTTGTGGTTACTTTCAAAATACATGGCAAGTAGCTACAAGAGACAATGTGTCTCAGGAAGCAAAAATTATTTACTCTTTACTGGCCCAAATATAAACTCAGAAGTAAATAATCATTAATATAGCCACAACTTCTAGTAGTACTGCAATCAATAGCATCAAAAAGTTATTTCTTATCTTTAGCTTAAGTTTTCAAATTCAGATAATCAGTGAAGAAACCCAGTCAAAGTATGAGAAAACCTACACTTGAATTTATTATATTAGAAAAATATCTCTCTTAAGAATGAAATCACAGCATTACTCAGGAAATATCAGAGAACAATATTTGATTCCCCCTACTTTAGCAGTAAACATTTTAAAGGAAAATATAAAGACAAAATTTGAAAATACAGAGAGTGTAGAAGACAAGAGGCAAAAACTGTTCTAGGTTTTTGCAATTTTTTCTTC